AAAAAGCCAGAAGTGGTGCTGTGGCTCAAGTGGTAGAGCGCTAGCCTTGAGCTGAAGAGCTGAGGGACAGCGCCCAGGCCCAGAGTTCAAGCCCCACGACGGGACAATTTTCAAAAAAAATAAAATAAACAGAAAAAAAATACAAAAAAGAAAAGAAAAATGCATGGTCTTCAAAATCTAAGGCAAAGCCCTCCTTCCAAGAAGAGGCCTGCTCTGGATGTCTTGCAAGCTGTCCTTTCTTTTCCCAATGTATCCTCCCTTCATCAGTTCTGCCCACTGTTGGGGAGAGTTTCAAAGAATCCTTGTTTCTCTCTCCTAGTAAGGAAGCTGCACAATTAGCCTACTCCAAGGAAGGCTGAGAGTGAGTACACAGGACCCTGAAGAACTCCCTTGTACATGTTCCTTCCATTTACTGATTCACAGGTCCAGGTCCTCTCCAGAATGAGCACTCCTTACAACAGATAATGAGTCTAATGCAAATGTGCAACCCCAATACCTGTCTGCTTCCCAAAATAAGACAAAAAGCTCAAAAACCACTGAAAGAATAGACAGCTAATAGTGTAAAACTGTCACTTCATCATAACAGGGATGATTTATCAGAATCACTTCCACAGTGTTAAACAAAGATTTGACCTTCAATAGCTGTCAAATTACTGGGTTTCAAACCTTCTGCACTGGAACTTGCTAAAATCAAGTTCTCCCAGCAAATCTACATCCATGTGAAGAAGAGGAATGTGGAACACAGGAAGAATGATGCTCATTTCTTCTCCATGTTTATGTAACCTGTGTTCCCTAGCAGAACAGTTACTGAATTGTTTCCTGTTTTAAGACTGAGTAAGTGCTAGCTCAAATGCTTCTTAACCTTCTAGGAGTCTGCATACACCGCTACCCGTCTTTTTTGAATGAAGGTCTTTTTGTATATCTGTGCACATTTGTCTAAAACTGTATATGGATCTTGTGATGCACAGTGATTAGGAACCATTGTTTTGAAAGTGTGCAAGAAGTAGGGGAGAATGTCTCCTGATATTGAAGCTGATGAGAGAAGACAGAACTTTCACAAAGATTCAATTCTCCTCCACTTTCATATCCATTCCCTCTGAGTCCAAAAGCAAGATTAGGAAATACAATTCATTTGCCTGTTTGTGATCATGGTGGTTCCAAGAATGTGACTGGGAGGTCTTTAACAATCAGGATAGCAATTGCTCTGCAACAAAATCCAACAGAGCAATGTTGCTTGGGCTACATCTCTAGCCTTCATGAAAACATGCATTTCACCCAGGAAGCAAGGAATTCTTAAATGGCACCATTCTATAATATATCCAGGCATTGGAGCCACCACAGACAACAGAACAATACGAGGTATTCAAGCGCCCAGCCAATCCTAACAGACGGAGAGTAATTACTTGTGATTATGACAGCAAATGTGATACTGACCTCCATTGGACACCTCTACCGTTAAATTGTACTGAGGACTATCTTTCTTCTTCAAGGACTGTTTAGCTAACTGGAACTTCCCCTCATATTCTTCAATCATGAAGAGTCCATCTATAGGAACTTTGGGGGTTTGTTCCACAATTTTGTACTTCAAAATGCTGTTGAAAGTGTTTGCTTCATCCAAGTCATGCGCAATGAAGATTCCAATACTGGCACCTGGGAGCAAGTAAAGAGGAAAAACAGGCTCCATGTGACATATTTTTAAATCGTCTCACTGATATAACCAAATCACACAACATGGCCCTTTACAATAGTATGTCATTTAATACACACCAGTTTTTAAAAGACAAAAGAAATGGTCTCGCTGGATAAACAAGGACCTAGGAAACACATGGAATAGTTTTGGATTAGCAGACAAACGCTTTTAATTTTATTTTAACTCCTTAACCTTTCCTATGATGTGAATTTATATATACATATATATATAATACACTAATACACACACACACACACACATACACACACACACACACACACACACACACACACACACACACACACACACACACACACACTGCAGTGTATTAGTTAGCCAGGACTGCTATAAAGTGTTGTGGCCCAACTGACTTAAATAAGAGAAATCTGGTTTTTTTCTCAGTTCTGAAGGATGCATAACAGATCAAGGTTGTTTATTTCTGAGGCCTCTCTCTGGCGTTCTCTTCCCTAAGCCTTCCTGTCATCTTCTCTCTGCCTCCTTGTGTCCAAATTTCCTCTTGTTATAAAACACCAATCATAATAGTTTATAGCCAACCATAAACACCTCATTTTACCTTAATTTCCTTTTTAAAGACCCTGTCTCCAAAGAACCACATTCTGAAGTATTAGAAGTAGAGCTTTACTGTATGAAGGGGGCGGGGCACAATTCAGCCCACCCAAAGGGATAAGACTTCAAGACACAAATCTGGGGGACACGGTTCAGGACAAGTGTCCATCTAACCCGTATCCACCCACATTCTCAGCATCAGACCTTTGAAAACAGGGACATCAGAGACAGAACTAGTTAAGGATATTGAAATGAAATCATTCTGGATTTATAGTAACCTTAAGTCCTTATAAGAAGGAGATACGCAGGGACACACAGAGAGGAGCTGATGGTGTGAAGGAGGACAGAAATCAGAGTTATGCTGCCACCAGCAGCCAATGTGAGCCAAAAAGGGCAGAGATTCTCACCTAGAGACTAGAACCTTCACCCTTGATTTTTGCTGCCTCCAGGACTGCGAGAGGATACTTTTCTCTTGTTTTAAGCCACCAAGTGTCTGGTGGTTCATTACAGCAATGCTAGGACATTCATAGCCATATGGTTGAAAGGAATAGGGAGAGACCAACTTCAAAGAGCAACTGGCTCCACTCAGAAGATAGCACAGGCCAAACAACAGGCACACACACCCTGCCTACCATGCTGCAAGCTACCAACCTAAGTATTTTATTCCCGTGACTGTCGGTCAGGGAGCAGCAGAGGTCAGTGCCCATGACTCTGTGCTCTGCCAGCTAGGGTAAGTTCTGAGAGGCTCCTAAACATCTTGTTCCATGAAATGGGAATTGTGGGGTTTTTACATATGCTAAGAATCTCACCTGAGAGTGAAGACTTGAATTCATTCTAGTCTTTTTTTAAAGACAGGTCTCATTTTGTACTTTCTTCTTTAACTCATAATCCTCCAGCCTCCATCTCCTAAGGGCTGGGATTACAGGAATATCCCATCACAACATCTGGGTGGTGCAGGGTCTTGAGGCTTGAACTCAGGACCTGGGCACTGTCCTTGAGCCATTTTGTGCTCGAGGTTAGTGTTCTACCACTTGAGCCACAGCACTACACTCAGGTTTTTCCAAGTTTAATGAAGATAAGAGTCTCATGGACTTTCCTACCCAGGCTGGCTTTGAATCGTAATCCTTAGACCTCAGCCTCCTGAGTAGCTAGGACTGCAAGCATGAGCCATCGGTGCCTGGCAGATTCAACCATTTTTAACATAGTTTTCATGAACTGCCTGATAGGGAGACTGAGAAGAGTATCTTGGTTTGGTGAGCTGGAAAAAGGAAATTGCCTACACTGATTCTTCAATGGAACAGGCCCAGGCATGTGTTTCTCATGGACTGGGTTAATGGGCCATGGTGAACGACAGGACAGAAGAGAACATGTATCTAGTGGAGCAGCTACTGCCCATTTCCGAATCCATCATGACTGGTTGGTCTCTGTGGGATGTACAAGTCCTGGTAAGGTGTCTGTGTGAGATAAAAGGATGCCCTGCAGAATTCTGTGATCCATTGGTGTCTGAGCAGTTCTGTTTCAGATATTTCCACTCAGCAAGTGAGTATGACACAAGAATACTGTTCTCTAACTCCACAGGAAACTTCTACCTGTCAGGGGCATCATGAGGGCTATTGGTGTCCAGTAGCACCCCTTTGGTGGGAGTAAAAAGACTCTTTCATAAGCCAGAGTTCAAGGAACACCATGCCTCTGAGTGACTGAGCTAGGACAAATGGTAGACCAAGCCACTCAGAGGCAAACCCAGCCACACTTGAGAGTACCCAGAATACTTTGGGGAAGCAGGGACTTCAAGAGAGGCTAAATTCCTTGTATAAATATGGTATAAACAATGAGATGTACAAGACATTATGTCAAAAAGTGAACTTTACAACTGTGGCACGGGACTGGGGTGGGAGGTAGGGGGGGAGATGGGAAGGGATGGGAAGGGGAAACAAAGGAGGAGGCAACAATGTTTGATAAGAAATGTACTCATTACCTTGCCCATGTAATTGTAACTCCTCTGT